TTGCACACAGCAGCAAACACAGTGCGACACCTACTGGTATGTTTATGTAACCGTTTTGAACTGCCCTAGGTTTTAAACTTCGTTGGAGTGGACTGAGAACCTTCACATATGTCGTTTTTGATTGTATTATTAACAAACTACTATCACTATTAGTCTATTACCTAGCCTGATCAATACATTTCTATTGACACTGTATAGCGCGAGCGACGCTGTCCATTTGAAACCACATTAAATATAAATGTAATTATATGTAGTAGAGCTAACAAACCAAAAACCTTAAAAAAAGAGCCGTTTTCCAGTTTTTGAACTTTAACCCCGGCGTGGTCGATGCAGGTCGGTGCAGCAACAAAACCCTGCGCGTATTCCGCGTCCTGTCTGAAAGTCTCAAGCTGAATGTGTGAGTTGGCAGCCCTGCGGGGATGCATCGTCGGGAGCGTTCTGCCGCATGCACACAGTGCTTATACATGTGGGGATTGTTTACATCAGAGTGCGCAGGAAAATAAGCAGCTAATGCACGCTCTAAAAGTCTAAATTTGAATTTATTATTTTTCACGGTATTTTGAAGAGCCCGCGATAACAATATCGTGCATATTCATTACCGCGATTTTTCGCATTACCGAATACCGGCACATGTCGTGTGTGTGTGTGTGTGTGTGTATGTGTGTACTGTCACTTTAAGAGCTGCATGGATCCAATAGGTGGTTTGCAGTCACGTGATTGTGTTGACGCGCGGAATGCAGATGGAGGGCAAGGAGTGAAGAGCGCAATGGACGCTATTACAAGAGAAATATATCAACAGAAAATTGAGACATATGTTGGACGTGATCCTTACGTTATAAAGAGGACCGATTTTCAACTGAATTGAGAGATTTGCCTGCCATCGAGGCTGTAGATATCAGCAACTAATGCGCTTTTCCACTGCATAGTACGGTTCGGTACGGCTCACTTGTGGTGCTTTTCCACTGCATGGTACAGTACAGTACGGTTCGCTTCAGGTCGCTTTAAATGGTACCTGGTCTGTTGAGGTTCCAAGCGTAGCGTAACGGTACTAAAATGTGACGTGAAACACTGCAGATCACTGATTGGTCAGACAGAATCGTCACTACCAGCGTCACTACTAGCGTCATTGGATTTGCGACACGAGACACTTTTTTAGCAGTATTTTTGTTTTGCTGCCATCAGCCTCATTTTAAACACATTTTTCCATCTAGCAGTTAAAAACAACCACATACCGAGAATCAGGAACACCATCCCCTCGATAGTCTCCATTGTTCCTGTGTTGTGGGTTTGAAAATGTGGCGCTTTTAAGATGATGTCATGGCAGTAGAGGCGCGCGCAAATAACGATCAGTCCCACACACTTTGAAGAGGTACTACTGCAGTGGAAACGCAAAGCGATCCGAACTCTTCCGCGCCGAGTCGAAGCGTACTGAGCCGAACCGTACCGTACTATGCAGTGGCAAAGCGCCTTAACTCGTCTTACAGTCATACTTTGACTTTCCGAAGTTCGGAAACTAGTCTGGTACGTTTCACAAACAGCCACTTAAGTGTATTCATTATCTCACATTTAATGAAGTGATCACTGCACTAGGGCTGCCCCCAAATAGTCGACTAAATGTTAGTCGATATGAGGAGGGCTTGGTCGAATACATTTTCATTAGTCGGTTAGTCGCAAAAAAAAAATAAAAATATATATATATATATATATATATTACGTGAAAAAATACGCAATCAGGGGCTGCGCAGTCAGTGTATGACATGACATCAAAGCAACGAGAGATCAACGAGATCTCGTGCCTCGCGGTATACCAAAACGCACTTGTGGGAGAGGTATCGGAAAATATCGCGACCAGCAAGCTGTTGTCTTAGACCCACGTTTAAAGAGCTTGTCATTCTTTGACCAACACGAACGAGAAGATGCGTACTCCACAGTGTCGGATCTGACTGAAATTTTATCTACAGAAGCTGCGCGCCAGAATGTGATCATGACAGTATTAGCCCTGCGGAGGGTGAGCTCGACCCGAATAACACCAAATAAATTGATGAGGAAGAGCATGCAGAAGAGAAGGATGAACTAAAATGTACTTAGCAGATAAAACAAAAGTTGATTCGGGACCATTGGCATGGTGGCAAAAAAATTAACATCGATATTCAAAGCTCGCTAAAGCAGCTAAACGCCTCCACATCCACTCCATCAGAGCGCATCTTTTCAAAGGCCGGCTTCATTGTGAACATGTCGAGAAGCTCCCTTCTTCCCAACAATGTGGACAAGCGTTCCTCTCACATAATATGAAAAAAATTAAATCGAATTGAAAGCTTAGGTAAGAATAATTAATTTCATTTTTGAAGTGTTTCTGTTTGCGATCCGTTAGGCTATATAAAAAACAAAACAAAAAAAACGGATATTTTTATAACGGTTAGGCTATACAAATAAATAAATATTATTTTTATTTATTCGTTTTTATATAATGCAGAAGTCGTTTTTTATTCTAAGAAAAATTAGTCTGATCTTTGCAATTCGTTGTTTAAGACTCATCCATCGTCTTAAATGGCAGTTTGCGGCTTTGCTCTGATATTTTTGTCCTTTAAATTAGCATATTTGTTCCACATTTTTTCTTAAATATAGCCTAGTTGTTCTAAACAATTTAATCAAATACTTAGGCTGTTGATTTGTTTGCCGCCTTCTTTTTTATTCGCAAGTTTTGGCGTTGTGCGATATGCCATGTGCATTTATTAAATTGTTCGTTTATTAATTTTCCTTTTGAACAATATAAAAAATATATTAATTTAATTTTCCACTGTATTTTATACCAAACAGTGTTTTTGTTTTACAGTATTATTTATTTTTTGCCTTGTTTTGTACTAGGCCTAAGTTACTAATAAGTTTATTTAATTTATTTTAAAGAACGTAGTTTATTTTATTTTATTCAAAACTGTTTTTTTTTCATTTAACTGTTACAGTTTGTATTTTTGATAATAAATTATTAAAATGCACACTTGCACAGGCAGTCTGATTGCTGTTTTTTTTATTCTTAGCCTATAACGTGTCGTAAGCTGTATACTTTAAACGCTTTACTATTCTGTTTTAAGCGCTTAATTTTCAGTTTGAACGTGCTAATATCATGCTTTAGCATTTTCTGTCATATGGAAGTGTTAAACTTCAATTTTGGACTATTCCTTTCCTTGTATATACGCAAACTTTTATAATATCATAAATGAACGATTATTCGACTAATCGCTAAAATGCAGGAGTGTTAGTCGACTAGGAATATCTTTAGTCGGGGGCAGCCCTACACTGCACACACACACACACACACACACTCTCACTGGCATTTTTCCCATTTGGCTTTTCCTGACCGCAGACGAGGGTTTGCAAAGCATTTTTCCCGGTGTTTTTCTGTCAATTTCTTGTATTTTCCCCCCTTATGAACAACAACTTTGGCCACACGATAAAAACTCCTTGTGGTTTGATCGATCTGAGCAACCGTAAACGACGCCAAACATAGGCATTTTGAGTGTGTTATAGTGCTTCCTAAATATAGAAAATCACTTCCTGCCCTCCATCTGCGTTTCGCGCCATGGCAACACAGTGGCGTGACGTCACGTGAAAACAAGCTATATACTGTTACACATGTGTGCAGCACACAAAACAGTGTGCAAGTCATCCCCTATCACAGCATTTGAAATGTTCCTATTTTTGTTTTAGGAGTTCCCAAAAACAGTTTAACATCCATGCAAGGATAAACACTTTATTTGTCGTATAATATGCATTTATTTTTAACTGATTTGCTCACAGACTCCCAAATGATTCGTACAACGACTCGTTTTTCCAAACCACTCTAGCGTGACTCTAATCGGCGGTGATTGGTCAGATGACAGACCCATAAACATATTGATAAAGCACTGCAGTACTACAAGACGCTCTATTCTTTGACAACTCCAATAACAGCGACAAACATTTCACATATTTAAAAAAAATTGACATTGGAGACCTAGAAGCTGCGCTGAGCGTAACTTACACACGCGCCCGCACACACACACACATACTGCCTCGCGCTCTAACGCAACAAAACCGTTCAAAACCCATAAAAGCAAAAATTATTAATAATACTTACAGGTTGTGATTCGGAGTAGGAAGCTGATCCATATACACTGGGTAAGTAAGTTACTGAGCCCTCCTTCAGGAACAACCGCTTGTGAATGCACATTTGAATTCATTTATGTTTTTGAACTAACGTTATTTGTCAATAAAATGATGAGAACACAATCGGGCTATAGTGTTGATATGAACTCTAACCACCGATTCTTCACATGCTCGTCCCTGGTAAATGAAAACAAAGTGGCTGAACTATCTCTGCATAGTAGAACACAGCGTCTTCTCGACATGATGCTATGATGAAGTGTTTGAGTGTGTTGACTTCGAGTTTACACTTCCGTCTGCGCGCGCAGTAACTGGGCGTGGCCAGTATGTATCTACGTCACGATGTAACAGCTAATGACTCGTTTCAAAAACAATTCATTTAATAGACTCACTTTAAAAGACCATAACTTTATATACGGTGCACTTTCAGATATAAATCTTTGCAGGATGTTTTCATTCCCTTAGAGCTATATTCCACACCATATGAACAGTCATTTTCAAAAATCCATGATAGGGGCTCTTTAAAGTCATTGAAATGCTCACAAAGGAATCAATTCGTTTTATAACGACTATCTGATTCATTAACGATTCCATGCGTTAATGATTGTGGTATCCTTACAGGAGTGTTAACCTTCTCTCTGTCTCTGTAGCGGACATGAACTTCTCCACCTCCACCGATGACGAGTCTCTGTTCCGCAAACCCAGAGTTCAGTTTCTAGAGATGGACACGGAGGCCAGCAGCTCGGACAGGTACAGGAGGTGTCTTTCCTGCTTCATTGCATCATGTTTGGAGATTTGTTTAGCTTTATATCACGTCATGCTCCTTCTCAAAGGGACTTAACTCGCATTCTCTCCAGCTCTCCAGCTTGATCTCCAGCTCTCTGGTACTAGATAAAGGGAAAACGCCACAATTCTTTAAGAGATTCCGGAAAGAATTTGCACATTGGACGGATGTAAAGGAAAAGCTGGAGAAAGAACTGTCTGACCAGATCAAGATCAACTCAGAAAAAGGTTTGAGATGACATGAGATGCGGTTACCCCATGTGACCTGGGTAATTCGGCGATCGCATCCCTTGCTTATTGCAATAACCCTGTATACAGGGATCCCAATACAGGGAATACACCAGGCCATCCTGTGTCCTCGAAGATGGCGAGGCCAGGGTGGCCTTCGAGCACAGCACAACGAGTAAGTTTGCATCACCTGTTTTTATATATACCTGTTAATATATAGATTTTTAGGCAAACATTTAGGCTTAAAGTACATTTGGATACCCATTTCTATTTTGTTTTGTTCCAAAATGTTATTTAACCATACTTTTCATTATCATTCTGTATGTTTCAACAGGCGCTTGCGTTCGGAGGATCCTGTGCCAGACAACTGGAGGGATCTCTGTCTGTAACAGATGCACTGTTTAATGTTTAAAGTGTCTTTCTGCTTTTTATTGTGTGTGTGTGTGTATATAGTTCTTAACTTGTTAAAGCTTCAATTGAGTTCATTTATATATTTCTTTGTTGTTTCTGTATTAATTGTGTATATAGTTTTTACTTTGCTTTATTGTAATTTTAATAAAATACAGTTTGCTTTGAACAATTGTTTGATTTGATCACAATACAAGCTAAGACGTCATATCCCAGAGGGCTTTGCATCTAAACAAACATGGCTGCACCCTCAATGTTACAAGACACACAAAGAACACGCAAATATCTCTGCAAAACCTCGACAGATTTGGAAATATATTTTAAAAAATGAGAAGAGTAGATCATAATGATATTTATTTAAAATAAATTATAAGTCCTCCATCTCTTCATTGTTGGCACAATACTGTAGAGAAATAAAAATCAAACGAAAAGTTTACACAATTGCAACAGAGTTTGACAGCTGTCTGTAAAATACTGTAGAAAAATCAAAATCAAATGACAAGTTAAAGTTATTTTAGTCCTATTTTATCTCAGTCACTCTAACATTTGGTGAATGTAGGGTCACAGACAATACTTATACTAATAAAAGATTTTTAACAGGAGATTATTTAAATCGAAAACCATAAGCTACAGCATAATCAACAAACAATCATAATGCAACAATAGGTTTGTGAAAATTATTTTTTATTAACAATATAAAAGAGCACTCCAAAAGAATATGTACACTGCATGTTGTTCACACATTTTATAAACTTGACACCATTATATATAAATGCACAGCCTCATCACATGCTCAAAAACACGTCACACAGTTTTACAGTTAGGGATTAGAGCTTATTCAGTTGTTTTGAATAGAGATCACTGTATTCTAATTAGTGATCGACCGATATATCGGGCCGATATTTGAGGTTTTTACGTGTATCGGAATCGGCCGATACACCGCTGCGCGTTCGCCGATAGTTTTTTTTTTTTTTTCCGGCGTTATTTATAGACAGGCGGCCACGGGCAGCTCCGTGCTGCTGGAGATGCTGCAGTTCACGTGCCCCGCCCTCCCCCACTAGCAGAGTGCAACCTGCTCTTCACGAGAATGGTAACTTAAACTTTCAAAGGATCTTTTATGTTTGACTGCTGAAATATTGTCAAACACTTTGAAAATGGAAACACGTCGCCCTATAACTGTTATGTGCTTGCAACTAAGCAAGTTTGTGGGTCCAAATGGAAAACGCGAATGCCTCGTCTATAAAACTTAACTGCTTGCCATTATATTAGGGAGCTGCAAATAGCTAAGGTGTAGGCTATCCGTTCAGTATGCATTAGGACTGTCTATGAATATTCTACATTCGAATATTTATTAATTTTGAAGGTGAAAATTAATATTTGAATGTGGAAAAACACGCCCGCGGTTGCAGACTAATAACGTTACCACAGCTGCACAGCTCGCTCGGAGCGCTCACTGTCGGTTATATACTGTGAAACTTCAATCACTGAATGAAGCCTGCAATATTTGGGACAAGAGTCGCGACTCGCAACCTTAAATTGCTTGCACAAAACTCTTGATCAGCACTGAACATTTGTTTGTTGATCATTTAACCGACGCGCAGAGAGCGTGAGGGCGAGAGAGAGAGAGAGTGCCTGTGCGAGACAGAGTGAGCTCTGCGGTCTTGGCCATTAGTTGATTTACTTGCTTTTTAATACGTTGTCAAATATGTTTAAACTCAAATAAACTATCTAATACTAGTAGTTATGTCTCTTTGTATATTAATGTGTCCTGTTATTGACGTAATGCGCGTCAATAACAAAACGCGCAAAGGGATGTTCGAATATGTTTTTTAGAGGGAATATGCAAACACCATTTGAGCAATTTTGACAGCCCTAGTATGCATACGGTAGCTGTTATGAACACTGGTCATAGGATTAAGTAATGCCAACGTTGTTCTGTGCTTTTTGTGGATATTTATTCAGCGCCCACCTGGTTGAGGTTTGGACGCGTGTGGTGTGTCCCTCGCCATCGCAGTGATATTACAGACTAGACATGCTCATTTTATTTTATGTAGAAAAAAATGAAACTATGGCAGTACATAGTTCGTTTCTTTTAAAATGAAGTACAGTGTGCACTGTGCACTTTATTATGCTGGTTGCTACTGTGTGCAATAGTGTAATTATTTAATTTATGCTTAAATATTCATTTTCAGCACTGAACTTTTTTTGTTCTACTTTATGTTTTTAATATTTGTTCAATTGTTTATCTACTTGTTCTTGTTCTACCTCATATTTTTTTACTATTTGTTAAATATTAATTTTTGAAGTTAGTTAAATGTTACTTTTATTAAATTGAGACCTGTAACATTTCTTAACGTCATGTCATTTTTATGATGTAAATTGAGGGAGCAAAATGTATCGGCTCCAAATATCGGCTCAAGAAAATCGGCAGCCCGTATCGGTCATCGGCTAAGGCTGATGGGAAAAAAATCGGTATCGGTATCGGCACTAAAAAATCCATATCGGTCGATCCCTAATTCTAATTTTTAGAAATCCCTTCCTGGGCATCTGAGAATGTGTGGAAGAAGATGCAGGCCCCGTGAACACTCCCGTAAGGCTCCCACTGTTAAAAGAATGATTGAATTCAGATTAAGGGAAATTATGTTTTTAAAACAGAAAAGAAATATGCATAGCAGCTTTAATTCTAATTCTTATTCGTATAGTTCTTTACACAATAGTGCAATTCTGAATTGTCCATAGAAAAATACAGTTAGTTAATCATGTATTAGTTTATGGGAAAACACATCACCGATGTTGAGTCGCCTCTTCACAGGGGTCGAGTCGTCTCTTCACGGGCGTTTGGTCATCAAATCACAGGCGTTGGGGCATCTGAAGTCTCCGTGACACGCTGAATACAAGCTGGACCTGACGAACCCCGCTTGTCCGAGATAACAGCAGAAAGGCAGATGGGAAATAATTAGCATAGCTGATGTTCATAATATTAATGCATTTGATCTGATTCAGCAGTAGTATTAAAAGGTGAGCAATATGTGAATGAATGGTTAAAGAGATGCGTAACTTTATGGAAATGGTTCTCAGTTCTGGCTCGTTCTCAGCATCCCTCAAGGAGCTCTGAGGAGCCGATGATGAAGGAGACACTGTCCTGGGATGCCCGGTAGAGTGCGTGGTGCCTTCTTCAAAATCCTGCTGTGGTAAACCAAAACAGAGAGGTTATTTTACTAATGTACAGTGAGCATAAATTCATGTACAATACTGTTCAAAGTATTTACAATACACTTACAATAAGTACTTTACTCTACTTACAATACAGTCTGTCTGTGTGTCATTCACAATGAGGCTCCATTTAAATTGTCACACATGGTCTGTGAGAGGCAAGCAGACGTCCGGCAAAATCACAGTCTGAAAAAATGGAGTCTGTCCGGGTTGTCAGAGATCCAACCACTCCAGCTCCAGGACGTAGATCAAACTCAATTATTTCATTGGTCACACTGAGGCTCCTTTTACATGAAACTACAACGTTTAGACGCTACTGAGGCTCCTTTTACATGAAACTACAATGTTTAGACGCTATTGAGGCTCCTTTTACATGAACATCAAGTCCATACGCAAGCTCCCAATTTTGTCCAAACATTGATAGTCCATACGCAAGCTCCCAATTTTGTCCAAAAACATTATAGTTCATTTCGCAAGCTCACAGTGAAAAACAAAACATTGATAGTTCATAGTCTTGTGTCATAAAATGTGACACAAATTGTAAAGAATCAAATGTTCAGCCACTCCAGCTCCTCTATCTCCCCACGAAAAAGTCCTCTTCTTGATGCCATGTCGAAGCAGATCTTATCATCTTTCTTAATGTCCGTGGTGGCCTGAAGAGCAGGACGTGCCTGTCTCCCCCCTGAAGCTTCACTAT